CGAATACTCTCGGTAGCTTGCCGGGCTCTCCGAGAGGGGCGGAGGAATCGAACTCGGGTCGGCCATGTGGGCTGCGTGCAAGGCAAACGCCCTACCGCTGTGCTTTCGCTCCAATAAATCCTTAGCAAAGACATAACAAATTGTATGCCCTTTCAGAAGGCATGAAATTATATAAAGGTTTTTAGAGGTTACAAACTAATTTTTGGATTAAAAAAAACAGGGTGCTATAATTATGGGGTAAAATACAGTAAGAGCCTATTATGGCTGAGTTCAAACTTATAAAGCAGAATATATAATAGCAATAGGAGCCTAATGACTACAATAATAAGATACTTGTCCTAAAATTCTGCAGACAAGCTCTGTCCCTCCACCAGCTCATACCAAGAGGGGAAATAAAACAATTCCTCACTTTCCTGGATAAAATGGCAATAGCTGCTAAAATACAAGACCATCCGATAGTGCTTCTTTTAAAAATGTCACAAATAACATTCATTGTCCACCATACTGTTATGTGAAAACACCAACCCCATAATCTCAACCTGAAAAGGAAAAAGTATAAAGAAAATTTTAATAGGTAAAGGAACATGATAACTTCTCAGTATCTGCAAACCATAGAGCCCAAAGGTGAGAGAGGGAGGGAGGGAAAAAGAGAGGGAGAGAAGAAGGGAGAGGGAGCTCATAAGGAGAGAGAGGGAGGGGGAAGGAAGGGGAGAGGGGGAGAGGGGGAGAGAGGGAGAGAGAAAGAGAGAGAGAGAGAGAGAGAGAGAGAGAGAGGGGCGCAAAGTGTCTGCCATAGAGACAAGTTGGGGGAGGATGGTGGGAGGGAAATTGAGGACATTGGTGGTAGGAAATGTATACTGGTGGATGGTTCTGTGGATGGTTGATGTTGGAACACTGCATTGGACTGAAATCTGACAAGGAAGAGTTTTATAACTCTGTATCTCACAGTGATTCACTTTAAAAAAATTTTTTTTAAAAAAAGACAAACCTTTGCTCGATGATTGTAGTAGCGATATTTCCATTGTCAAGCTTATTTGTAACATTTAAAGAATGGAAATTTGACTATATGGTCATGTAATTTACTTATCAATGACTTACAATTTCAGTAAAAAGTCCTCCCCAAATGGTTTAGCTGTTGAGTATTCCACTTTTTTTTTTTTTTGGTTTTTGGGTCACACCCAGCAATGCTCTGGGGTTACTCCTGGTTCTGCACTCAGAAATTACTCCTGGCGGTGCTAAGGGGACTATATGGGATGCTGGAATCAAACCCAGGTTGACCGCATGCAAGACAAACGCCCTACCCACTGTGCTATCACTCCAGCCCCCAGTGAGCATTCCACTTTGTAACCAAGAAGACTCTTTGAAAACTATTTAAGTCATCAGACATTCCACAGGAAAGAAAAAAATGAATATACCAATTCCATTTTTATTTCAATTAACTTCTCCCAACACCCTACCAAAAGAATTTGATTTCAAGTCCTCCCCACCCCACCCCAACTGGACTTCCTCCACTTTTCCAGAAATCTTAAGAAAGCTCCCTGCAGTATTTGCTCTAAAAAAAGCAAAAGCTTGCGTCACCAGCACCTCTGCTTTGCAAGACAGTGTCCTGATGGCAGTATCTTGTTTAGAGCAAAGTGTCAGGAAATGCTGGACTTCCCTGGAGGACTTGTCACAGGGCTTTTACAGCAAAGAGGTATTTTCTGGCTCATTTTAGTCCCCAAGATGTAGTGAGGGACCTCGCTCAACCTGCCCGATATGTGTAGGCCCCTGTTTATTCTTTTGGTTTGGAGCCCACACAGTGTTGGTATCCAGCTGGGTCTTCTGCAGGCATGCACTCCGGCCCACTGAACTATTTCCCCAACCCGAGGATCTTGTCACTTTATGAGTGACAACTTGTTCCAACTGAATTATCCAGACCCATCTGCTATAGTTTCCCTGATCCATCCACTGCAAGGATCTTTGTAGACTGCAAATTAGTGATCCATTAGTTGTCATCAGAGAGACAGTCACAGTCCAGGCTAAAAGACTCTATTTTTAAAAACTAGTTTCAAACATCTCTCAACCATTTAAAAAAAAAGTTCAAATCTGTGTATTCGCCATTTATTATCATCTTGTCAAACAAGCATCGTAAGTTTACTTAAGTTTACATGCTCCTGATATTCTGCTACGTATTTAAGATCAAAGACTCCCTTGATTTATTGATGAACTTCTTTCACAACTAGAATATAAAAAGACCAAAGGCTTACTGAATAGACATGGAATACTTAACGAGCTCGTGACATACAATACCTGCATTAATTTTTTTCTATTACTTAGAACCAAGATCTCCAACATAGTCTTTAGTACTGACTGCGTACAAACCATATACAACTGAACAATGCAGTACTCCAGTGCGGGAACTATTACTTCCCTATCCCCTGGACTAGCAAACTCTACCAGAGACATCAAACACCTCACCTGACATCACACAGGACAGATGGGGGAACTAGATCCACATTTGTCTGTCACCAATTCCCGTCTATACTGCAGCCTCAAAGATATTCTTACCTTCCAGTTTGTTAAGCAACGTCTTCAGATAAAAAGAAAACAAACAAAACTTACATTTAAGCCACATAGCAGTTATGCAAGACTCTTTGTAAAGAAAAAGCAGGAAGAAATCAAAAGGTGGCCAAATCAGCAATGTGAAAGTTCATCTTCCACACACCCATTCATCAGGCAGATCTGAGCTCTTGATGAAAGACATTATCTTATACAAAGGCCTAGCAGCTGTGGATATTTGATTTCCAAGCCCAGAACAGATTAAAGTCATATTACATGAATAATCACAATGTGAAGAAGTGACAGGTGGAGAATAAAAAGGAGAGGAAAGAGGGAAAGACAAGAGAGATTAGCACTATTCCCTAAGAGTCCCTTCAAGGACTACTTTGCTCATAGTTATAAGTCTTTGGATACTCCCAGCTTTCTTTGGTATTTTGAGCTAATCACACCCTTGCTAGGATTTAGCATCCTGATCCATATAGGGTGCTGGAGAATCCCAAACAACTTTCGCAGTGCACAGGGCTGCTCCGCTGTTAAAAGCAAGACTTCCTCTTAAAGGAGCTATTAACAGATGGGCTAGGTTCTTAGGTAAATCCTCCTCACTTATATAAGCTCAAAGTTATAATCAACTTTCCAAAGGTTCTGAAAACTGAGAGTTTTTGATTTTCGAATTATTATCATGTTGGTGACGTCAGCCTATGCATTCAGTCAGCTCCATAAGGAGAAAAAGAGCAGAAGCTGCTTAGTCAGCAAAAAGACGTGGAGTGGTTAAAATAAACCAATGGAAGTCAGACACTTGAGGACCTGCCAAAGTTATCAGTACCATTTACAACCCAGAAGGGAGGCTCAACTTCCCGGCGGAGTATCACGGGGACAAAACAGAATAAAGTGCACAAGCCAGGCCAGAGTATTCTATCCAACAGTTACTACATGGTGAAGAATTCCTGAAGCTCCATCTGGAAACCTTGAAAATAAGGGGGACAAATATTTTGCAATAGCCCTCAGCTGGCGAAGTTAATCAATCTAAGATGAACAAACCCCTCGGCTTTCTTAAGAAAAAAAAGAAAAAAGAAAAAAATTTTTTTCAAGCAACTTTCCTATTGTGGGCAACACTCCTAACCAGGTAAAGGTTGGAGAGATTTCACTTTAAGCCACCGAAACGGAAACCAACTGCTTGCTTTGTTCCCGATGTACTAGCAATGGAATGACATGACGGTAGACCGAAACAGAGTGGAGAAAAGCTCCCGAAATCTCCCTAGGGAGTTGGCAATGGGACGCTTCATTGCCTCCACGTAATCCGGTCCACGCCGTTCACCGCGCTGCCCCGGGCACTGCGATGTTCCATCACCGACAGGGCCCGAGTCCTTTCGCAGCGCGGTGCAAGCTGACCGGCCCGGGGGTCAGCGGGAAGGAGACCGCAGCGGCGCTCCTTTGTGGCGCTCCCAGAACAGCAGAAGGAGACAATGAGCGTCTGTGCGCAGTTCGGCGCCGATTGGCTGCTCTCCTCCCCCCGCACCACCACCAAAACCTCCCCCCAAGAAACCCCTTGATGTCATGGGCTTGGAATGCGGGGAGGGAGGAAGGAAGGAGGGGATTTGGGGAGGGGGACGCTTCTCATCTCTTTCCCAGACCAGAAGTCCCTAAGATAAACCCGATGCATTCGGAGGCCAGGCGGGCGGGCCAAGCCGGGAGTTACCCAAAGAGCGATCGCTCGCCAGGACAGGCAGCTTCAGCCAATAAACCTCAAACAAAAGCTCCCCCACACCCCAAAGGGACCCTCGCGGGCGCCTGGAACCTCCCAAACCGCCAACTCCTCGGGGTTTCACGGTGAAAGACCGAGCAGAAACTTCCGTCCGACGCACGGAGCGCTCCAAAGCGGGCGCCTTCGGGCTTTGTCTCGGCTGCCCGCACAGGCAGCGGCAGACGCGCCTCGTGGCCGGGGGCCCGGAGATGCGGGGTCCCGGGGCGCCTCCGCTTCCTCCGGGGGTCCCCGGGCCGGTGGGGACCTCCCCCCCCCGGGGAAGGAGAGGGGAACAATGGAGGGGGCGGGGGAGCGGAGCCGCCCGCTGTGCGCGCGGCAGACTTGGCCGGGGCTGGGGTGGGCGCCGCGCCGCTCGGCCAGCGGCCCGGGGTGGGCGGCGGGAGCGGCTCGCGGGGTCCCGGCGGTGGACACCGGCCCCACCTAAGGCCGGGCGCCGGGCAGGAGCGCCCCCTTCCCGGAGGGGCGCGCTCTGCAGCAGCTCGGCGGTCCGCGGAGTCGCTGGCCGGCCCCGAGGGCTCCCCGGAGCTCGGACTCCGCGCCCGCTCCCCGAGCAGGCCGGCGGGCGGGAACAAAGCCGGGAGCGCCCGGGTGCGGGACCCGAACCGCAGCGGCACCGAAGCCCACGGCGGCCCCCGCGCCGCCCCGACGTGTGCAGCCGGCGCGCCCACGCGGCGGGACGTGCGCCCCCCGCGCCCCATACCTTGTTCTTGACCTCGGCCGAGAGCCCGTACGAGGGGCCCTTGTTGAAGTGGGTCATCGTGGCGGCGGGCAGCGGCTGCGTCGGGGCTGGGCTTCCCGTAGGGTTCGCCGCGGCAGATGCGCGGAGCTCGCTCCCCGGACGGCGACGGAGACTGCGGGACGCAGCTCGGGGCGGTGCCCTGGCGACTCGGTCTCGCAGAGCCTCCCGGTCGGCTCCCGAGGCCCCCAGAACTGCCCCCCACCCCTTTCCCCGGCCCTGCAGGGATTGGCCCGCGAGCCCGACCAATGGGGGCCGCCCCTCCGCGCCCAGCCGCTCCCGCCTCTCCCGCGAGGGGGCGGTGCGGCAGCTGCAGGACGCGGCCCGGCCCCGCCTGCGCCCGCCCCTGCCCGGGGACCCCCGCCTCGGGGCGGGCCGAGCACCCTGACGGCGCAGCTGGGGGCTCCCGGGCCCGTACACCTGCTCCAGCCTCCCACACCTGTTGGCCGACCTCTGCCCGGGGACCGCCGCGGGCTCGCACGCGGCTGGGCGCCAGAGTCACCTTAACTTGGTGGGAACCGCTGAAGAGCTGAGCCCGGGGCACTGGGGTACGCGCTATGGCAACGCCAGGGGCATCTCAGGGCTTTGTTTGCTTCTGGATCTGCACCAGCTCCTGTCCCCAACGAGCTTCCCAGCTTTACCCGGAATGCAGCCACCCCAAAGTTCACCTCTCTCCCTCCCTCCCCCCACCCGCTTTGATTGCTGCCTCCCTCCCCCCACCACACACACAGACACACAGACACACACACACACACACACACACACACACACACCGATCTCGTCCTTTCGTGAAGAAGGGGATGGGAACTGGACTTTCGCCACTTGCCCTGGGCAGCGCCTGACAAGATGCTAAACGCCTTCCAAGCCGACAGTGGCCGGACAGAAAGCAACTCCTGCAGGAAGGAGGAAGCCCAGCCAGGCCCCTGAGCCAGGGCTGTCCGCCTTGAAGCTGCTTGCAGCCTCCTCCTGCCACCGCTTTCCAGGCACACCTAGGACCATCGCCACCACCGATGCTCCTCTGTAGTTTGGGTTACCAAAAGCCTGAGACTGTGCCAGAAGAGATGGTGGGACGAGGTGTGGCCGCCAGCTTCAAGAGAAGAGCAGCTGGTTCCTCTAGTCGAACCTCCACGGGTCAAAAAAACAGTGTGGCGACTCGCAAACGAACTCGACGGAACCACTAACTGTGCAAGGACTTTGCGGGACTTGGAGCGGGAGGGCGGGGCGGTACTTGAAGGAGAGAGAAGGGGGCTAATTGTGAGGAAAGTGAATGATTTATATGTGATTTGCTAATTTGATCTGAAGGTACTAATGATAATTAGGGCATTCTTCCCACACAGAGATGACACAATGGGTCCAGGATTAGTGAGACAAGCAGTTTGAGCTGTTTTTCCAGTAGTGTGAGAGTGACTCTCTGTCACCTATAATACCTCACCTTCTTTCCTTGTCCCAGTGAAGAATAGCCACCCCACCTGAAGTATAGATCCCATTTCTTTTTTATTTATTTATTTGTTTATTTTATTTTTTTGCTTTTTGGGTCACACCCGACGATGCACAGGGATTACTCCTGGCTCTGCGCTCAGGAATTACGCCTGGCGGTGTTGGGGGGACCATGTGGGATGCTGGGAATCAAACCTGGGTCGGCCGCGTGTAAGGCAAACGCCCTACCCACTGTGCTATCACTCTAGCCCTAGATCCCATTTCTATCATATACCAGCCTATGAGCTCTTCCATCTAGGAGCTAAGCCAGATTTTCCAGCTCAGTAAATCTCAGTAAAATGGAGTAAAATGAATATGTATGTATGTATGTATATACATATATATGGGCTGGAGCAATAGCACAGCGAGTAGGCCATTTGCCTTACATGCGGCCAACCCGGCTGACCTAGGTTCGATTCCTCTGCCCCTCTCAGAGAGCCCGGCAAGCTACTGAGAGTATCTCGCCCGCATGACAAAGCCTGGCAAGCTATTCGTGAAGTATTCGATATGCCAAACACAGTAACAAGTGTCACAGTGGAGATGTTACTGGGCCCGCTTGAGCAAATCGATGAACAATGGGAGGACAGTGACATACATATATATACATATATAAGACACACACACATATATCTTGGAGATAGAAATGTGACTTTGGGCCCAGAGACATAGTTCAAGCTGGCTGGGGCACATATTCTGTGGGCTTCATTCATTTCTGCATGAAAAATGTGGATTTCCTCCCCAGTACTGCATGGTTCTCACCTGTGCACATGAACAACCCCACTCTACCTCAGCACTACTGGATGTGTCCCCAAAGCTAAAAACTAAAATGAATTTTTCTTAATGGGCGAATTGTTCAATGGATGTGGAGTTTTAATTTGATATAAAAAATGTTCTGGAATAAGGTCGTGGTGATAGTCTTACAACAAAGTAAACGTACGTACTACTACCGTATACTTCAAAACAAACCTTTTATAAACTTTCTTTTTTCTTTCTGACTAATGTCAGGCAACCACCGAGAAGCTGGCTTATCAGTTTTATTACCTGGAATTTTCTATAAATGGAATTATACCCTGTATATTCCATTTTAACTGACTTATCTCATTCAGGAAATTTATTAGCCATGCCACTGGACCCCGCGCCAGACTGTTTCACTTGGGGTGCCCCAGAGGGAGTAGGTGAGAGCCCTTCCCTCCCCAAGGGACCCAGCCCCGGCAGCAAAAAACCTTCACAACTCAACCACTGCCATGCTCAAGGCTACTTCCCACGCTTAGGCCGAGCTTCACGCACAAGTGAACGTATTCCTGGACCGCATACATCATAAGACACTCCCTATCCATTCTCCAAGAGTACCACACCACATTTGATGGGGTTCAAATAGTAGGCAACTAATCATAGAGGGAAATATATATGCATATATACATATTTTCTGATATATATATATATATATATACGAAAGCTCACATCACTCAACTTTTAACAAGTCACTGATATCTTAAAGAATGTCTTAATGGCACCTGCCAAAATGGAACAATCTTCACACTGTTTCCTTTATGGATTTTTAAAAAATTTTTATTAGTGAGACACCACGAGGTACAGTTGTAGACTTACAAATTTTGTGCTATTATGGATATTTTGTAGCATTTTCAGCAGTTTTCCATAACAGACAATACAATATATATTATTTCTTCTGTGCTTTGGGACAGGGTTTGGGGCTTGGGATGAAAAATCCCAAATATGGTGGTGGGAATGGTGTTTGAATATTAAATGTAATCAAATATTGTGAACTATCTTATAAAATAAAAAAAATTTAATTTATGTTGAGATCCATTAATGTTGGCACAATGGTCAATTCCTCCTATTTCTGCATAGTATTCCATTGTAGGGGTGTGTGTGTGTGTGTGTGTGTATGTGTGTATGTATGTGTGTGTAGCTGTATGTGTGTGTATCCACATACAGAGGTAGATTATTCAAACCTAAAATAATTCCCTTCTCCCTTCCCTTACCCTTTCTCTGCCTATAAAGCCTCTCCTCTTGAATTGCTTGATCAGATAAGCTTTCTACTTGCTAGATGGGCTGCTGCCTAGTTTGTGACTCATTTAATGAAGTGAACTAGGTCTTTAAAATGTACTTTTAAATGCTTATCTTTCTCTTGGATTTCACCTATGAGTGGAATGCATAGACTATGCATGTGAAAAATATATATTTAACTTAAGAAAGGGCTTACTTTTGCAGGCCAGAACAATAGTACAGTGGATAGGATGTTTGCCTTGCAAGCAGCTGACCCAGCTTCCATTCCCAGCACCACATATGGTTCCCTGAACCCTGCCAGTAGTGATCCCTGAGCACAGAGCCAGAAGTAAGCCTTGAGCACAGCTAGGTGTATGTAGCCCCAAAACAAAACAAAGCAAAAAGAAATATTTACCAATTGTATCATGTTACACTCCCACCAGCAGTGAGGGATAGTTCTAGTTCCTTTGCATTCCCATCAATATTGGTATAAGAATTCCTTTTAAGGTTAAACTTCTTCCCTTCCCTTCCCTTCCCTTCCCTTCCCTTCCCTTCCCTTCCCTTCCCTTCCCTTCCCTTCCCTTCCCTTCCCTTCCCTTCCCTGGCTTTGAGCCACACCCAACAGTGTTCAGGAGCTCTCCTGGCTCTGTGTTTAGGAATGAGCCCTGGCAGTTCTCAGGGAACTGTATGTGATGCTAACCCAGGTTTGGGGATATGCAGTCGTAACCCCTGTACTGACTCTCTCGTTCCCAGGCACTTTTCATGTACTTATCATCTTTCCTGATTATTCAAAATATTTGCCCACTTTTTGAGTGTGTTCTTATCATATTGTATATCTTTAACATCACCGTAAAGAGATATTTAGAAAATCCTTACCAACCTCTAACAATACAATGTGTTATTGACTGCTCAAGTGTAAGCACAAAATTAAGTTTTAAAAAATTAGTACAAAATACAATCGGAGTGTGGTCCAACAATTAAGTAATTACTTCAACAATTAAGAAATGCCTTCAATAAGGGAACACATTGAAATACGTGCTCTAAAAGAGATCAATACCTCATCTCCAAGTTCTCATTAATTAAAAGTAGTAGGTGGGGAAAAGTAGGTAGTCACGAAAATTTTCTTTCACAGATGCATGTCTGTGAGTCACACTATCATGTACCTTGTTACCTAGACAAAAGTAATAAACGTGCTAAAGAATATCATGTGTAAATCCCCCATGCAAGAGATGTACAAATACAAAGGGATCAGTCAATTATAAGACAAAAAGAAAGATTCTGGAGGGCTAAAAAGAGACTGATGGATGTTGAAGTGCTTATTCTGCTCAAAAGAATTAGTATGGCATTAAGGGCAACAAAAACGCAAGTTTCACCTAATAAAGATACTATTAAGTATCAGAGGGAGAGCAACAATAACTTTTTTAGTCTTGGTCAGTCCTGATGAAACTCTTTAATGGTTCCCCCTTTTATTCAGAATGTGTCTTTGTTTAAATCAAAAATCACATGGTCACCTGACTTATAGGCATCACTACACACACACCTATAATAATAAATATTAACTATCCCTATTTACTCAGAAACTAAGATTCAATGAGAAAGAATATACAAC